GCGTGCGGGTTGCCGCGCGCAACGAGGAGTAGGAAAGGCAAGGCGGCGCGCGCAAGCTGACGGGACGCGCGCGACGCGTATGAGAGGCGGCCGAGAGTTGGGCGTGCATAGGGTTTTATTTTAGGGAGCTTCTAGATTTGCTTGGTGTGCAAGCCAAGAAATAGTTATTTGGTAGCTTTAGGATTTTATTGCTTTCTAGACTTAGGATTTAATATTTAATTATTATATTAGTTTCCTAGTAAGATTAGCATTAGAGATAGTTGGTAAGCCAATCTTGAGGGGGAACTTTATGTTCTTAACGTGTGATAAACAAGGCCATTAGTGCGTGTTTACATACAGTGTCGGAGAGAAGGCCATTAGTGCGTCTTGAAGTCACGGTGTCTAGGAGAAGGCCGCAGTGCGTCTGTTAGACACGCCTATCGGGGATAAACGAAGGCCGCAGTGCGCCGTTTATTCGCAACCCAAGTATAGACAAAAGATCGATCCGTCATCAGGCTGCCTGCACGCGCTGGGCTGCCTGTGCGCGGCCTGCGCGCGGGCTGTGCGGGCCTGGCGAGCTTCTTAGGGCCAAATGACTTGAAAATTATTTCTAAGTGTCCGGTTTGACCCCGGCTTGACTTGAACAACAAAATAATAATAATAATAATAATAACAATAATAACAAAAAAAATAATAATAATAATAATAATAATAATCATAATAATAATAATAATAATAATAATAATAATAATAATAATAATAATAATAATAATAATAATAATAATAATAATAATAATCTCCAATAATTCATAACCAAACGGGGCGTTATAGTCTACCCACCTTACAAAGAATTCCGTCCTCGGAATTCAAAACAAAACAACTAGAAGGCACTAAAAATAAATATACAGAGGGGAAATCAAAACATAAAGTTCGGATAATCCCTCCTAATACCGTCCTCCCTCTCCCAAGTCGCCTCAGTCTTATCGTGTCGGCTCCACAGCACCTTCACCAAGATCACTGCCTGGTTCCTCAGCTGATGGACCTTCCGGTCCAGGATAGCTACCGGCACCTCCTCATAGGTAAGGTCTCGCTCGATCTGCAGCTCACCGAAGTCCACTACATGATCGGGATCATGCACATACCTCCGAAGCATGGAGACATGGAACACGTCGTGCACACCCGACAAGTCTGGTGGTAAAGCCAGCCGATACGCTAAGTTCCCGACTCGATCGAGGATCTCGAACGGTCCAATATAGCGAGTTTTAAGTTTCCCCTTCTTTCCGAAGCGAATCATACCTCTCATGGGTGAAACCTTCAAGAAGACATGATCTCCCACTTCATAAACATGCTCCTGCCTCTCCCGGTCGGCATAGACCTTCTGCCTCTCCTGGGCAGACCTGATGGTCTTCCGGATCTCCTCAACGGTCGCTGCAGTACTCTGAACGAAATCCGGACCTGTAATCCTCCTCTCTCCGACCTCATCCCAATACAAAGGGGTCTGGACCTTACGTCCTTACAAAGCCTCGTACGGGACCATCTTGATCGAAGAGTGATAGTTGTTGTTGTAGGTCAGCTCGACTAGCGGAAGGGCATACTCCCAAGTCAGGCTTCGGTCCAAGACCACAACCCTCAAAATATCCTCCAAGTAATGGATCACACGCTCCGACTGACCATCTGTCTGGGGGTGAAAGGCTGTACTGAACTCCAACCTCGTCCCCATGGCTCGGTGCAACGTCCTCCAGAACTGGGATATGAATTTGGCATCTCGATCCGAAACAATCTCCACGGGCACTCCATGAAGTTTAACAATGTCCTTGACGAACAATTCGGCTTAATTACTCGCCTTCATGGTCGTCTGCACTGGCAGAAAATGGGCAGACTTCGTAAGGCGATCCACTATCACCCAAATCGAATCATACCCGCCCCTCGAATTCGGCAGTCCCACTAAGAAATCCATGGTGATGCACTCCCACTTCCACAGGGGAACCTCAAGGGGCTGCAACAACCGTCTCGGTTTCTGGCGCTCAGCCTTCACTTGCTGACACACCAGGCACCCATCCACGAACTTTGCTACCTGCCTCTTCATGCCTCGCCACCAGAAAGACTTCCTCAGGTCCTGATACATCTTCGTGCTACCAGGATGGATGGTGTACGGGGCACTATGGGCCTCTCTCAAAATCTCCCTTCGCAGCTCCCACACCTTCGGGACACAAAGTCTACCCTCAAAGACCAAGGCCCCATCAGATGCGACTGCGAATCCACCAATTATACTGGCTTCCGACAACTCTCTCATCCGGCATAGGAAACGGTCATTCGGTTGCTCGGCGACTATCCTCTCTCGAAGAGTCGGTCCCACAACCAAAGAGGCCAACACGCCCCCGGCTGTCGAAGTTGACTCCACTGCCTCCAACTGTAATCGCTCGAACTCCCGAAGAAGAACATCCTGCTTGGTGAACAAGCAAGACAGCTGGCCATAACTCCTCCGGCTAAGGGCATCGGCTACCACGTTAGCTTTCCCAGGGTGATAGCTAATGGTGCAGTCGTAGTCCTTGACCAGTTCCAACCATCTACGCTGCCTCATGTTCAGCTCCTTCTGAGTGAAAATGTACTTTAGGCTCTTGTGGTCGGTAAAGATCTCACACTTGCCTCCATAGAGGTAGTGCCGCCAAATCTTCAAGGCGTGGACAACTACAGCTAACTCGAGATCATGAGTGGGGTAGTTCTGCTCGTGAGGCTTCAGCTGCCTCGAAGCATAGGCTACGACTTTCCCCTGCTGCATAAGGACACATCCCAAACCCATCTTCGAAGCATCACTATAGATGGTGAACTCCAAAGTAGGGTCGGGTATAGATAGGACAGGCGCAGTAGTGAGTCTTCTCTTCAACTCCTGGAAACTCTCCTCACACTGAGGACTCCAATCGAACCTCACGGCCTTCTTCGTAAGGTTGGTCAGTGGCTGGGCTATCTTCGAGAAGCCCTCGATAAACCTCCTGTAGTATCCTGCTAACCCCAGGAAACTACGAACATCTACAGCACTTCTTGGCGTATCCCACTTGCTCACAGCCTCAATCTTGTTGGGATCCACCTCAATGCCTCGAGCTGTCACAATGTGGCCAAGGAATGCCACACGGTTCAGCCAGAACTCACACTTCGAAAACTTAGCATACAACTTCTCGCGGCGAAGAGTCTCTAGCACAATCCTCAAATGCTCCTTGTGCTGATCGATGTCTCGGGAATAGACCAAAATGTCATCGATGAACACAATGACGAACTGGTCCAGGAAAGGATGAAAGACCCTATTCATAAGGTCCATGAAAACGGCTGGGGCATTGCTGAGTCCGAACGGCATGACTACGAACTCATAGTGGCCATAACGGGTACGGAAAGCAGTCTTAGAAATATCTGACTCTCGGATCTTCAGCTGATGATAGCCAGAACGCAAGTCAATCTTTGAGAAGACGCTGACTCCTCTCAGCTGGTGGAAAAGGTCCTCAATACGGGGAAGGGGGTACTTGTTCTTGACTGTAAGGGCATTCAACTCCCGATAGTCAATGCACATGCGCATAGATCCGTCTTTCTTCTTTACGAAAAGGACGGGCGCACCCCACGGCGAGACACTCGGACGAATGAAACCAAGCTTAAGCAACTCCTGGATCTGGGCCTTGAGCTCTTGAAGCTCCTTCGGCGCCATACGATAAGGGGCCTTAGAAACGGGGCCGACTCCTTGGACTAGGTCAATAGTGAACTCCACCTGGCGATCGGGTGGTCCTCCAGGCAAATCATCAGGAAAAACGTCGAGGTACTCACAAACGATAGATACTCGCTCGGGCACCCCCTCATCAACGACATCGGATACCATGGAAACAAGATAGCCTTGACAGCTACCCTTGGAAAGGCTCTTCCTAGCTTGCATAGAAGAGATGACCCGAGGCACAGTCCTCAAACTCACCTCAAAGAACACAACGGGCTGATCAGAAACGGAAAAGAGGGTGACTTCGCGCTCCTGGCACCGGATATCGGCTCGGTAACGGGTGAGCCAGTCCATACCCAAGATCACGTCAAAGTCTCGCATATCAATTACATAGGCATCAGCCTCTAGAACTCGACCACCAATACAGATAGGGAGATTGCGAACCACAGAATCAGAGATAATAATTTTTCCCGAGGCTAAACTAACCTCGAGAGGATCATAAGCATGCACGGTGCCAAAAGATAAAGCCTCCAAGAAACGAGAAGAAATAAAAGAATGGGTAGTACCGGTATCACATAAAGCAAAGACAGGAACATGGGATATCGAATGCATTCCGGACATGGTACCTGCATTGCGAGCGGCCTCATCGTGGGTGATGGTGTAGACTCGGGCCTGACCCCCATCCCTCTACTGGAACGGTGGGGGCTGCTGATGCTGCTGATGAGGTGGCGGTGGGGGAAGCTGCTGCTGCTGCGGAGGGAACTGCTGCTGCCTCTTGGGCTCAGGACAGACACTGGCATAATGGCCCGGACGGTTGCAATTGTAACAAGCTCGCTGGTCTGCTAGGCACTCTCCGGCGTGGAACCTGCCACACTTAGAGCACCTCGGCAGTTGACCCTGGGTGGGTCGGTCGTCGTGTCTGCCAAAATTTCCCTTATTGCCCTTCTTCTTCTTCCGATAATCAGATTTTCTCTTGCCCGAACTAGAGCCGGGCTGCATAGACGAGAGGGGCTGAGCATGCTGGACAATGGCCTGGGATGGCTGGGAGGCATGATAGAAAGAAGGAACTGGAGCCAATGGAATGAGACAGCTCTCGATCAGCATAGGACATCAGTCCGTGACTTCCCACCAGTTCACGGATCCTCTGGTTGAGCCCCTTGAGAAACTTCCGGTCCTTCTTGGCATCGGTGTTCACTGCGTCGCCCGCAAAAAGGCACATGCGAGTGAAGGTGCGGATATACTCATCCACCGTGGAGCTGCACTGCTATAAGTGGTAAAACTCATGCTCCATTCTGTCCCAAAAGCTCTAGGGAAGGAACTTGCTGCGCACCATCATCTTCATTTGCTCCCAAGAGAGTGCATGGAGCTCCGCCTCTGACCTCCGAGCCCAGTGGTCAATCCACCAGTCGAAAGCGTCCTCCTTCATCTGGTAAGCTGCAAGGGATACCCGCTGACGGTCAGGAAGGGGAAGTACAGCGAAGATCTTGTCCAGTTCTTTGATCCACTCTAGCACCGTTGTGGGGTTCTCAGTCCCCGCAAAGGTTGGTGCATTCATCCTTTGGAACTGAATGATAAGCTGAGTAAGGTCCATGGCCGGAGCGGCCTGGTGCTGATGAGGAGGAGAAGGAGATGGGGATGCCTGACGGTTACGATTGCGAGTATTCATACTTCTACATTGAATAAGTCGAACGAGGTTAAGCACAAGAACAAACAGAACAATCAATATATACTGAAGTCTAGAGTTTTCCATAAACACTAGAGTTCGATAAAATCAAGGTGGATAGATCCTAAGCCCCAAATCACAAGTTCATCACGAGTAGTTTTATTACTACATGCTTATCATTTACATGTCCAGTATTTTCATTAATACTTAAACAAAACATACCTTAAGCAGCGCGGAGTGACGGAGATGAGTGGTCATAACACAAGGTCTAAACACATACTCACATATTA